TTTCATCGTCACTTCTGAAAGATGGTCATTTTTCACAGCATGTCATTAACACTTCTGGGAGACGGTCTTTATACAACTACATGCCTTTCACACTTCTGGGAGATAGTGAAAATAGATGATCATTTCATCGTCACTTCTGAAAGACTATTAAAAAAACAATCATTTCTTTCACACTTCTGGGAGATACATCATATAGATGATCATTTCATCGTCACTTCTCAAAGATAGTCTATATAGAACTGCATGGCATTAACACTTCTTGGAGATAGTGAAAATAGATGATCATTTCATCGTCACTTCTGAAAGACTATTAAAAAACGATCATTTCATTCACCCCCATCGCCCCATCGTCATTTTGGCGTATATACATACACATTGAGCTTTTTAAACAGAGAAATTCAACACCTCGTTTTACGTCAATTTTTATTATGAATTAATACAATGACATTGTGATTCAATTTCATGGATGCAAAGTGTTAATTGTGATATCACATAATGTCTATATCATTATCTCGTGCTTTGAGTGCCCATCCTGTCCCACATCTGACGATAAAGGATAAAGCACACGGCCGAGAAACTTTTCTCATAAGTCGATCTAAAAATTGGTCATTAGAGGGGTTCGCTCTTCACGGAGTCCAAGTACTAGATACGCAGCTTATTATTTCGATATCCCCCCTTTTTGTATCGGGGAAATGTAATCCTGTATTCATTATTTACACATAATAATTAATCATATTGGTGGTTATTCGCTGTTTCGCTTCGTCTAAAGTCCAGTGGTACGGAACTCGTATTATTTGACGGGGATATGGCCGGGTATTTAAATTAAAAATATGGGTCTTAATACAAAATTCCAGATGTCATATTACATATCACTGAAAAGCACGTTCTTTGCTCTTTTCAAATATGTAAATTATTTTCTGGCGCATTTATATTTATTTACATTGAAAAACAATCAATGTTGGATGGTACTAAAATCTATTACCATGTTTACGGAGAGGTGGTGTGTTGTTGTCCACCAACATGGCGGCGTCCTGTATCTAGGTCATGTATCGGATACCGGTACGCTCTATATATAGGCATAGACTATAATCAAAATGGCCGACGAGAATTGAATGTTTTGATAGTTGAATTTCATTAGGACCTAATGTGGCTTTGAACACACGTAATGCAAGCATGCCTGCCTTATTTGACATTATATTATTTCAAATTATACTGCCACCATGGGTCGTAGGCGTTATATAGCGATTAGCGACGATTCCCGAATGATCGAGATTTACGGTCGGCATTTCTTTTATCACTCTACCGCTTAAAAATGTACACAAGTGAATGACGAGTCTTATGTAAAGCTCGTCTTAAATTTGCTGGAAATTTGGTAATCCTTGTAAAATTTGATGTGTTGTGTAGGCTGCACGGTAGTTTTACATCTGACTGAAAAAATAGGGTTGGCTGTCATAAAATTTTGTAAATGTATATGATAGCCTAATATTGCTGTGATATTTAAGCAAAACTTTATTAATATAACCAAATAATAAACTGGATCTTAGTAAAGCATCTAAAGAATGGGCTAATGTAAAGCAAAGTAAGATTTGGCAAATAAAAATTCTATTTCGCCATAAAATATATAAACAATTTTGCATGTGAAAGTGATAGCTATTAAATTGCTATATCCTATGTTTACAATATTATGCTGCTGACATTTTATTGTTGTTGAAATGAGTTAGTGCATATTGCTTTAAGCGGGGGACGCCTTAGCCGAATGATTCTGCCGAATGAATCCGCGCCAAAATTGGTCACTGTCATTTGACTTAATGATTCGCGAAATCAAACATGTTTGATATATTCGCCCTAATTATATTTAATCACCAATCATATCGAGAAGTCAAGTGATTGTTTGAAGACATGGTTGCTGCCATGTTTAATCATGCGATGTCAAAGGTGATGCAATCTACTAGTGAATCAGGTGGGAGTATGCCCACTTATTTGTCCGAATGGTTCGGCTAGTGTATCCACGACAGACCTTGTGATTTCATGCGCACACATTAAGCACAAGACCATTCAACCCCCACATTGAAAAAATGAAATGAAATGAAATGGGGTTTAACGTCCTACTGTTCTGCTCCTATGCTAGGCTAATGAAGACGGGCATACGCCATACAATGTGCTATGAGGGAAATTTTGCCCGGGCAGCGGCACTATCGCCTACTCTTATATCGAATTTCAACTGCCAAGGGATCTTTTACGTGCATTCTAATGTATACACAGGACCTCGGTTTTTCGCTTCATCCGAAGGACTAGACAGCTGTCCTTGTCAGGCCCTCCGTCCTGCATCACTGACAAGGGGGAACCACGCCGGAAAATCGCGATGAACTTTCTCGGCCAATGCAGGGATCGAACACCCGACCTCCAGGCTAGCAAGCCAGCGTCTTACCCACTTAGCCACATGACCCACTCCCACATTGAAAAGAAAAGACACAAGCAAAGAACTAAATGTTAGCCCAGAAGTTACCCGGTTTGTGTTGAATGGACATTAAACCCCATTTTTCTCACTATCTCATATACAAACACAAAATGTGCAGTGTGCTGTGGGAAATTTTACCTTGACAGCTGCCATATGACCTACTCTGCCATGGATTCTTTTACATGCTGGTTTCGATTCCCCGGTTGTACTTGACAATGAGTAGGGTCGCCTGTCCAACCTCGTGGGTTTTCTCCGGGTCCTCCGGTTTCCTCCCACTGCTAAAGACCCCTATGCGCAAGCGAATTATTGAAATAAAATTATACCATATGTTAGTCCCGAAATGACCTAGTTTGTGTCTAGTGGACATTAAACCCCATTTTTCTCTCTCTCTGTCAGACAATTTTGGAGAATGCACAGACAGCGGTGCTATATGAACAGTATGAACAACTAGATGCTGTTTCTTGCCAGGACCTCTGTCCGACACCACTGTCAATGGTAAATTATTCCAGAAATCCTGAGTAATTTTGTTGACATGCCGGGATCCAACCTGGGATAATTGAAGCATTTATTCTTAACCCATTACATATGCCATACAGTGTGCAATGAGGCACTAAGGCCTTATCTTATTTCAAAATCCAACTGTCCAACTTTTACATGCACGCCAATGTGCATGTGTGATGTCGGGTTTTTTGTTGTTGTGCCATTCGAATGACTATACAACTGTTTCCTCCTGGTCCCCATGGTTTTCTCCCACTGCAAAAGACCCCTACAGCCAAATAATTGAAAAAAAATTGATCCATGTGTTAGTCCTGCTATGGCGTAGTTTGTGTAGAGTGGACATTAAACTTCATTTCTCTCTCTTCTTGCCAGGCCCTATGTCCTGCACCACTGGAAAGGGGGGAACCAAGGCGTAAAATCTAGAAGAGCTTTCCTGGGCATTGACAGGATCGAACACGGGACGACTCGGATAGTGTGCCAACGTCTCACTCACTGATTGGGGGTGGATGACCGAATGGTTAGCACGTGCGCGCTGTATCATAAAGTCTGTCATTGAGTCAACTGGCGTGGTTTCGATTCCCCGGTCGTATGTGACCAGCAACCTCGTGGGTTTTCTCCGGGTCCCCCGGTTTCCTCCCACTGCTAAAGACCCCTACGCGCAAGCGAATTATTGTGTCGAGTGGACTTTAACCCCATTTCTCGCTTTCATGACTTCCCAGGTTCGAAACTACCTCGGGATTTACAAGGCTATATCCCCTTGACGGAATATGCCATGAAGAGCATCTAACGCCACTTTATTTCATTTCTAACAGCTTTATCATTTTGGAGGGCCTGACAAGGACATCTGTCTAGTCGTTCGGATGGGACGAAAAAAATGAGGTCCGGTGTACACATTGGCGTGCAAGTAAAAGATCCCTTGACAGTTGGAATTCGATATACGAGTAGGCCATAACGCCGCTGCCCGGGCCAATTATCCCTCATAGCACACTGTATGGCGTATGCCCGTCTTCATTAGCCCAGTTTAGGAACAGAACAGTAGGACGTTAAACCCCCATTTCATTTCATTTCATTTAAGCTTTATCATTTCATTTCGGATTAGTATGCTCATCCTCGCATCTTGTGTTCCATTCATTTTCATTTTAATAAATAGTTCCTTCATAGTGACGCACTATTTACCATGGACAATATTACAATAGTTGATTGCTTTGATTGCATCACAGGAATAACTATTCATATTTTACTGGCTAAACGATAAGGGAGAGAGAGAGAAATGGGGTTTAACGTCCACTCGACACAAACTAGGTCATTTCGTGACTAACATATGGTTTAATTTTATTTACATAATTCGCTTGCGCGTAGGGGTCTTTAGCAGTGGAAAGAAACCGGAGGACCCGGAGAAAACCCACGAGGTTGGACAGGCGACCCTACTCCTTGCCACGTACAACCGGGGATTCGAAACCACACCAGTTGACTCAATGACAGACTTTATGATACAGCGCACGCACGCTAACCATTCAGCCATCCAACCCCCGGGCTAAACGATAAAGAAAGACAACCTGGGCGACTAATAAACACGGCAATTTGTTCTGTTAATCTGGATATTTTACTGTCTAAACGAGAAAGAAAAGTGACCTGGGCGACCCTACTCCCCGGTTGTACGTGACAAGGAGTAGGGTCGCCTGTCCAACCTTGTGGGTTTTCTCCAGGTCCCCCGGTTTCCTCCCACTCCTAAAGACCCCTACGTGCAAGCGAATTATTGAAATAAAATTGAACAAAACAAATTTGGTTTTGTAAAATAAAAAGTTACTGTAGGCCCTATTGAAATTTTCTCTTTCAGTATTTGACCAAATTTGTTATTGATGATGACAAAATTTGGTTTTGATACCATAAATTAACCTTCCTATACACCCATGTAAACTTTTGATAATACCGGGGGTGGGTTTTGGATGGCTGAATGGTTAGCGTGAGTGCGTTGTATCATAAGGTCTGTTATTGAGTCAACTGGCATGGTTTTGATTCCCCAGTTACGTGACTTAGAGTAGTCGCCTATCCAACCTTGTGGGTTTTCTCCGGGTCCTTCGGTTTCCTCCCACTGCTAAGGGCCTGGCAAGAACAGTGTCTAGTCGTTGGGAAGGGACGAAAACACGTGCATTTAAAATAACCCTTGACAGCTGGAATTCGAAATAGCACACTGTGATGTATGCCAGTCTTCATTAGCCCAGTCGGAGTATAAAAGTAGCACTTTAAACCCCATTAGTGTTATTTTATTTAATAATTATCGCAATAATACAACTATAAAGTTTATAAAAGGCTGATTATTTACAACAAAGCATTTTGAGAAGGAATCGGTGACATTCTTGTATCCGGCAAAACAGGACAGTCGCGTTTAACCACTTGTTTCATTTGCGATTGAAAGCTCTTTGTAGTCCAGCATTTGCAAGGCCAGACAGAACGCCCCCTATCACATTGCCAACAGCTTTAAGTAATGTTTTAAGGACGCCACCTGACGACGACTGGATCTCATTTCGCGCGTCTTGACGAGTATTAGACATCTGCAGTGCTAGCAGATCAGACGCCAGTTTTCGCTTCTCATTTTCATGCTCCTGTGTTAGTTTTACAGCAGACTCTTTTAGTTCCCTCTCCTGTTGTTCAAGTTTTTCTTGTTTCTTTTGGAGTTCTCGTTCCTTTTTATGTTTTTCCTCGTCGATTAACTTCATTCTTTCTTTGAGCGCCTTCTCTGCCGCTTCGTACATTGCTCCCGTATAGTAAGTTTCGCCATTTTGACTAATGGTTCTTCTCACCATATCAATAATGCCATTAACATCTGCTTGACGCTCGGGGTCTTCTGCACGATTATTTATGGTGACGCAGCGTGAACGACATCGTTGAACTAAATTGCTGAGCTCCTCATGAGCATCCTCTAAATATTTGGCCAATGTCAATTTCTGGAAGTTCAGCGATTCTTTACCAGTGAAGACGATTACAACATGGTTGATGACTTGCTCCCCAAAGAGACCCAACAGCTGATTTACGGTTTCCTGCTCCTCTTGGGTGAATCGGTTGTTGATGTTGACGACGAAGAGAAAGGCGTGTGGACCGGGGGATGACATTCCAACGCACCGTACTATTTCCGTCATGTTTTGTTCGGACGATTTTGTGTTGTCGAATAACCCTGGTGTGTCGACGATGCAGAGCGGGGTCCCATCAATATGATTACTATGCCCAACTTTACATTTAGCCGTGACGGACTTTCCAGCAATACTTGATATAAAGTGATGTCTTCCCAGCAAGCTGTTACCCAACGAGCTTTTTCCAACTCCTGTTTTTCCGACCATAACAATTCTAAGTTCTGAAATGAAAACATATTTATAATAGTATATTTTATCTCCGTATATCAATTTGTAAATTTTTGAGAGAGAGAGAGAGAGAGATTCTGACGTCCACTTAACCCAAGCTTGTTCATCTCAGGACTAACATATGGCAGGCTACAATTTTATTTTAATAATTGTCTTGCATGTATAGGTCTTGGGCAGTTGGAGGAAGCCACGGGACCCAGAGAAAACATGTGCTTGGGCATGGGCAACCCCCCATGCAGTGAGTAAGACACTAACTCACAATTCAGGGGGTCTCGAGTTCGCTCTCACTGTTGGCCGAGAAAGTTCCGACCCTATTTCTCTCTGTCAGTAGTGCAGGACGGAGGGCCTAACAAGGTCCGTGTCTACTTGTTTGAATGGGTCAAAAAATCGAGATCGTATGTACACATTTTCGTGCTCTTTAAACAAAATAAAAAGTAGGCGGTGGGGCCGCTGTCTGGGCCAAATGTCTCTCCTGGCACATTGTATCTTAAAACACCGTGAAATGTGTAACTATGTCTTCATCAAAAAATGCTTGTTAAGACTGCAAGCGATATTGTACCCACCCTAAGCATAGAACACTATGGTGTTTGAAAGTAGTTTACATTATAAATAGATAAACAAAACAAAATTTCACCTACCTTTATCTATCACGGATCCTGCCATAATTATTTAACAAATCGTAAATCTATATCAAATTATTTGTGTGCTTTGATGTTCAACTCTGTAATAAATGTTGTTAAATTAGTAATTATAGAGAAAGGTGTAAAGGTGTGTTTATGTCAAGCCATATTTGGAAAATAGGCTGCTTTTGAACCTCTAAGGAAGGGTAGAATTAGAGAGAAAGAGAGAAATGAGGTTTTACGTCCATTCGACACAAAGTAGTTCATTTCGAGACAAACATATGGTAGGGTGACCCGTACACCGCACAGAAAGTTGGTCTAGACACGGCGAAAGTACACGCTTCAGTGGCTTATCTTGAAGTGATTTCTCGCATACACTACGCACTATGATAGCACTCAGCGGAAGAGTCTATGATAATATAAATAGCCATCGCACGTCCTATTCTCTACACACCTATCAACTATTACAGCCGTAAAAAATCTATTGTTGACTATTCTGAATAGCAGTAATATTTAGCTTATTGGTTATTACAGCAGCTTTAGAAATTACGTTCATTTTATTTTTTAAATTGCTTTATCATTAACTGTACCATTAGTAGCGGCATCTTTTGGTTTAGTACAAATAATATCCCTGAAATACTTGCGTTGGGCAAGAACATGATACTAGCAGTAGTTGCATTACAAGGTTCTTAAAACAATTGTTGAGTTGCCGAACGTGCGTGTTTCTAAATTAAATTTATTGTTCAAGCTTTCTGTTATGTTTCGTAAAAAAAGTAGTCTTGATTATCCCGGCCTGTTAATCAAACGTAGAATGGTCGGTAGACGGGTTGGGCGAGACTACTTTCAAAACATGAGCGCGTAACCTATTTTTTACTCACACGTGCTCGGATGTTATGGCCGACACTCGGAACCATCTTTCAGTGTATTATTTATGGATGATTAAATGATCATAGCTTATTAAGTACAGCATGACCGTTTATTTTGTGACTATAAATGTTTGAAGCACATAACAGAAAGCTGGAACAATAAATTGAATTTAGAAACACACACGTTGGGCAACTCAACAATTGTTTTAAGAGAGAGAGAAATGGGGTTTAACGTCCACTCGACACAAACTAGGTCATTTCGGAACTAACATATGGTTCAATTTTGTTTCCATAATTCGCTTGCGCGTAGGGGTCTTTAGCAGTGGGAGGAAACCGGAGGACCCGGAGAAAACCGGGGATTCGAAACCACGCCAGTTGACTCAATGACACGTGCTAAACAGTCAGCCACCCAACCCCCCAATTGTTTTAAGAATCTCGTAAAAGTAAAATGAAACTACTGCTAGTATCATGTTCTTGCCCAACGCAAGTATTTCAGAGATATTATTTGTACATATAAAAGATTCCCTGGCAGTTGGAATTTGATATAAGAGTAGGCCTTAGCGTCGCGGTACCGGTCACAATTTCCCTCAAAGCACACTGTATGGCATATGCCCAACTTCATTAGCCCAGTCGGGGCTGAACAGTAGGACGCTTAACCCCATTTCATTTCATCTTTTCATTTTGTCTCATCTGTGACAAAGCAAACCAACACATTACACATACAATGTAATTATATTAAAACTTTCATCTTTTAACCGTGAGTCAATTTAAGTCAACTAATACATAGTATGTTTTTTTTCTCATTTAACTACATCAGCAAGATCAAGACAGTTGGAAATGGCTATTCATATCGTGGAAACTTTTTCTCACAGAGCTTGATAATCAGGCAAAATGTAAGTAACATACATATTTGTATTTTTAATCATCACCTAGTTCTATATACTTGCTTTGTAATTTAGTTAGGGCTCTATTATTTCAAGTACTTGGCATGCTTGATTTGTGGCAATCACATCCATTGATTTTCTTCAAGTTGTGATATGTGTATTTTTACAGTAAATAGCAGTATAAAAATGGTGGACAATATTTTACTTTTCAAATACATTTTAATAGATTTTAAAAGGTAATATCCAATTTGTTGTCGATGGAAATGAATGGGAAAAAAATTAGACATTGCCAAGTAAATATGCACTGCCATGATGTAGCAGGGAATCTGGATTTAGAGACACAATACATGTATGAACCGGGTGAATAGTTGACCTATTATGAGACTTCAGTTCCAAATCAAAAGACTTTTTTCTGACTTCTAACCCATTTGATTTGAGCATAATAATCTGCCTGGGTCTATAACTGGACAAGACACAATAAGTATCACGCAAAGTTTAAACAAAATAGAGACTCAGTCTCGATGTGACAAAATAAATTGTTTATTTATACATTGTGAACCATAGAAGGTATTCTTATTGCCCACTTTTTTTTAGGCCGGAACACCCTTGGAAGAGTATTTGATAAGAGAACCCAAGCATCAATTTATTTTATAATTCTGGAAAGAATGCATTTGACTCAATTTTTAAATATTTATTTTTTGTTTTTAATGTTAAATATTCTTCCCAAACACAATTAGATTTTAATTCTTTTCAGAAATTTATGTATAATATAGAAAGTAAAGTGACATATAAATCACTTAGAATTTGGTACGAAATCATAAAGTATTTAATAGGCATTATCTAGAAACCAAATGTAGATCAAATATACCCAAAATTACTAAAAAAAACTTTACCTACAATAAGGTGACTTTCCCTTGCTTATGAAATGAAATAGGGTTTTCTAGTTTTCTGTATTGTTAGAGTGATTCTGCCCTACAACCTACTCTTATATCAAATATTTCAACTGTCAAGGGTTCTTTTAACGGAACCCAGGGGGGGGGGGGGGCGAATGGTTAACACGTGCACATTGGATCAGAAGGTCTGTCATTGAGACAAATAATTCAATTGTCAAGGGTTAGACCTACAGATTTACAGTAATGGTTACTTGAATATATAATGAAAGTTAACTTGATGTGAAATGACTACTTTGTCATGTTGATTATATACCTATATGTACCATATTACGCATGCAAATTCAAACCGTGGAGTTATACGAAATAGTACGAAATTTATCTTCCAGTTCCACCTGAATAATTTTTGTGGAATAAAGCACTTAGATCCAAATCGAGTATTTATAACAGCTACAAAAATCGTATATTTAATGTTCCTAATCCGTCATCCATATGGCAGGTTAATATGATCTTAATTATCCTGTTCTAGCATTCTTAGTCTACACTGACTATCACGATAGACGTGACCCATGTGGTGACACCGTTATATCTTCATGCGAGGATAATATTGCCCCTAGTTATGTCATTTTCTAATGTATATTCTTATTTACTTATATATATGTATGTATGTTCTTATTCATGTTATATTACCAATGCACCTTTAAATCGTCAGTCAGTCACCAATACCGGGATCTTACCTTATTGAACCCATCATTAATTTTGATACTTGGCAGCCCATCTCGAAATTGCTGCGGTGCAAGGTCCATATTTGTTGGGTTTTTTTTAGTCCAAAGTTTTTCATGACCCAGTCACCATACCCAAATGTTGCAATGCCAAAGTGTTTCCTAGGTTTTGTAGGATCATACTATAGAAACGTCCAACCAGTGATTCAAATCCTCCTTTCTGTTTTATCAATTATTCAAGATTACTATTAAGTTGAGATGCGCATCCAAATCCTGGGCCATCAAACCTCTCTATTTTACACCTTAACGCCAGAAGCCTACAAAACAAACTTGACGAAGTCTCACTTGAGCTAAGTAAATATGATATTCTTACTTTTTCTTAAACATGGTTTAACGATTCAATCATATCTGGCGATATAAATCTTGATGGATATCATAGTCCGATTACCCTCAACCCGAAGATGGTAGAGGCGGTGGTGTAGCTGTGTATGTTAAAAATAACATTTTCTTCAACCCAAGACACGATCTGACAATTGAAAACTTAGAAGTTATTTGGATTGAAGTTAGATACAGAAAAGATCTGTTTTTGATTGGTACTTTTTATCGTCAACCTTCTGCAAACGCCTCCTCCTACTGGGACTTAATTGAAGAAAGTTTTAATTCCCCTACGGACTTATAGAAAATCTCGGCTTCACGATCTTATAACCTTATTAGATTACAGACAATTAATTAAAGACCCAACTAGAATTCAACCGGATTCCAAAAGTCTCATTGATTTAGCGATTGTCAGTTGTCCTGATTTTATTAAAGATGTTAATATTCATGATTGTAGTATTAGCGACCACAGTCCTATTGTTCTCTGTTTCAATACATCGAATACCAAATTAAATTCGTACCAAAGGACTATCTGGAAATATCAAGATCTGGGTGTAGATGGCATAAACACATATATTTCATCTTATTCTTGGCATATTTTCTTTAATGCGTTCACTGATCTCCAATCACTTGCAAATGACTTTTCAAACATGAAACAGAAAACTGTAACAATCCGTCTAAGTCAAACAAAATGGATAAATGGCCATATACGCAAGTTATTGCGACACAAAAATAGAATTCATAAACGGGCAAAACGAACAAACACCCCGAACCATTGACAAGAAAAGAATTTAGGAAACACAGAAACATAGTAACAACCGAAATTAGAAAATGCAAACAGGAATACCTTGATAAAATTGACCTTGAGGTGAACTTAAATACATACAGTGAATCTAAATGGAAAAAGCAGACGCCTTGAACAAATTTTTTGTTTCTCAATGTTCATCTAGTAATAATTCCTCATATCTACCAGAAATACCCTTTTGAGACACGCTAATTCAAAATTTAAGTACTACCTCAACCCAAATTGATTGTATACTCGCATCTTTAAAAAGTAAAAAAGTCTGTGGTCCTGATAATATTAATAATTATATTCTTAAATCAATCTCTAAATCATCTCTTTAAAACGCGTACTTGACATCGTTGATTTAAATAGTATTTTCCCAAACTGTTGGAAGCTAGCAAATGTCGTACCGATATTCAAAAGGAGTGATGCTACCCTATGTTCAAACTACCGCCCAATCTCTTTGTTATCCTGTCTTGGAAAAGTTTTCGAAAAATTATTTACAACCATATACATGTATACAACTTTACTGTTAGTACACAACTTATTTCCCCCTTTCAGTCAAGATTTCAACCGGGTA